GCCAAAGGGAGTTCTTGACCTGGAAAGAAAGTGGTACCACCAGGAATTTCAGAGCATCAGGAACAGAAAGCAGAGATGGGGTCACCAGCAGAGCATGAGGGCAGAAAGGCAGAAACTGCAAGGCTCCTTTCCCTTCAGAGCATTCACAGCACATTATTTTAAACGTTGAGGCAAGGGAAAGCCAACATACACCAATTATCATCCGATGATGCTTGCTACCTTCTGTTAATCTACCAATATTTTAAGATATAAGGATAAGTTAGTTTAAATCCCAGAGCTCACGAAATGTTAGGAGGTGTTGGAACTCCATGCAATTGAGGCACGTTTCATCTTATCATACTTCACTTTATGACGTTCCAAGATTACTGCATTTTCTACAGACTGAAGGTGTGTGCCAACCTTACGTCAAGCAAATACATTGCTTCCCAACAGCATTGATCACCTCCTGTCTCTGAGTCACATTTTGGTAATAATCCCAATATTTTAAGCTTTAATCTCATTATTATATTGTGATGGTGATCTGTGATCAGTGATCTTTGATGTTACTATTGTCATTGCTTGGGACACCACAAACCACACCTGCATAAGATGACAAACTTAATATATGTGCATGTTCTCACTCCTGTTCCAACCCATCGTTCCCCATCTCTCTCCTTTTCCTCAGGACTCTCTGTTCCCTAACACACAGCAGTATTGAGGTTATCCCAGTGAATACCCCTACAGTGGCCTACAAGTGTCCAAGTGAAAGGAAGAGTTGCACGTTTCTCATTCTAAATCAACAGCTAAAAAAATAAAAAATAAATCAACAGCTAGAAGCGATTAAGCTGAGGGAGGAAGATAGGTCGATGGCCAAGACAGGCCCAAAGCCAGGTCTGTTGTGCCAGACAGCCCAGCTGTAAATGCAGAGGAAAAGTTTGTGAAGGATATTGAAAGTGCTCATCCAGAGCAAGGCCCTGACTCCCTTCAATTCTGTGAAGGCCGAGGGAGGCTGGAAGCTGCAGAAGACCAGTTTGAAGCTAGTAGAGGTGGTTCAGGACATGGGAGGAAAGAAGCTATCTCCATAACATCAAGTGCAAGGGGAAGCAGCCAGTGCTGATGTAGAAGCTGCAGCAAGTCACCTAGGGCTAGTAGCTAAGATGATCCGTGAAGGTGGCTGCACTACACACAGATTTCCAGTGTAGATGGAACAGCCTCCTACTGGCAGAGGATGCCATGTAGGACTCTCATGGCTACAGAGAAGTCAATGCCTGGCCTCAGAGCTTCAGAGGACTGGCGGACTCCTGTTAGGGGCTCATGCAGCTGCTGGCTCAAAGTTGGAGCTAGTGCTCAGTGACCATTCTGAAACTCCCAGGGCCCTTGAGGGTGATGCGAAATCTCCTCTGCCTGGGCTCCATAAATGGAACAGCAAAGCCTGGTGACAGCACATCTCTTTACAACACGACTACTGAATATTTTAAGCCCACTCTTGAGACCTACTGCTCAGAGGGGGGAAAAATGCTTTCAAAATACTACTGCTCACTGACAATGCACCTGGTCACCCAAGAGCTCTGATGGGGATGGTCAACAAGATTAATGCTGGGTTCATGCCTGCTAACACAACACCAATCCTACAGCCTACGGATCAAGGAGTAATTTCAACTTTCAAGTCTTAGCATTAACGGAATACTTATTGTAAGGCTGTAGCTGCCTTAGACACTGACTCCTCTAATGGATCTGGGCAAAGTCAGTTGAAAGCCTTCTGGAGAGATTCTGCATTCTCGATGCCATTAAGAACACTTGTGATTTGGGGCACCTGGTGGCTCAGTTAGTCAAGCATCCAACTCTTGATCTCAGCTCAAGCTCGTGTTGGGCTCCGTGTTGGGCTCCATGCTGGGTGTGGAGCCTATTTAAAAAGAAGAAAGAGAAGAAAGAAAAGAAGAAAGAAAGAAAGAAGAAAGAAAGAAAGAAAGAAAGAAAGAAGAAAGAAAGAAAGAAAGAAAGAAAGAAAGAAAGAAGAAAGAAAGAAAGAAAGAAAAAAGAAGAAGAAGAAGAAAAGAAAGAAAGAAAGAAAGAAAGAAAGAAAGAAAGAAAGAAAGAAAAGAAAGAAAGAAAGAAAGAAGAAAGAAAGAAAGAAAGAAAGAAAGAAAGAAAGAAAAAGAAAGAAAGAAAGAAAGAAAAAGAAAGAAAGAAAGACAGAAAGACTTGTGATTCGTGGGAAGAGCTCCCAATATCCATATTAATCAGAGTTTGGAAGAAGCTGATTCCAGCCCTCATGGATGACTTTGAGGTGTTCAAAACTTCAGGGGGAGGAAGTGACTACAGATGTGGTGGGAACAGCAAGAGAACCTGGGTTAGAAGTGGAGCCTAAAGATGGGATCGCATTGCTGCAAGCTCATCATCAAACTGGAACAGATGAGGAGCTGCCTCTGAAGGAGGAGTGAAGAACATGGTTTTCTGAGATGGAATTGACTCCTGGTGAAGATGTTGTGAAGATTGTTGAAACGACAACAGTGGATTTAAAATATCACATAAAAAATAAAATAAAATATCACATAAACTTGGTAAAGCAGTGGCAGGGTATTAGAGCATCAACCCCAATTGGGAAAGCAGTTCTACTAAGGGTAAAACATTATCAAACTGCATCAGCCACCACAGGGAAGTTGTGATAGAAGAGTCAACTGATGTGGCAAACTTCACTGTTGTCTTTATTTTTTTTAAATGTTTTATTTATTTATTCATGAGAGACACAGAGAGAGGCAGAGACACAGGCAGAGGGAGAAGCAGGCTCCATGCAGGGAGCCCGAGGTGGGACTGAATCCTGGGTCTCCAGGATCACGCCCTGGGCTGAAGGCGGCGTTAAACCTCTGAGCCTCCCAGGCTGCCCCAACTGTTGTCTTATTTTAAGAAGTTGCCCCAGCTACCCCATCTTCAGCACCCACCACCCTGACCAGTCAGCAGCCAACAATGTGGAGAAAATGTTACAGGATTTTTGTTCCCTTAATGCTCATGGCTCTTGATCATGCTGCCTCAAAGAATGAAGAGGTAGACCAGATGAACAGTGGTGGACAACAAAGTAGTTTACTGACCAATAACACAAAGTTCCCAGGGAGGAAGGGGAGCCGAGAGGGTTGCCATTTTGGCGTTCCAATTTAGGGGGTTTTATAAGCTCCTTGGAGGAACTATCTTAAGTATCCTGAGAACATGCCCCTGTGAATTGGCCGCTAAGGTGTGCCAATCAGTTTTGATCATGCATCCATCTACCTATTGGGTTATTGTTCGAATGTTGACGGTCTTGTGGGCTGACATCTGAGACGAACTGCCTGAACTTGTGATCATAACCCATGTTTCATGGTTGTTTTGTTTCAGGATGTTTTGCAAAAGTCACTTCTGCAGAGGCTGCTAGACAGGATGCTATTGCAGTCTTGTCTAAACTGTCAAATAGGATGCTAGTGCAGTTCTATATTCACTGTCCCTGGTCCCTTTTTATTGTGGGGAATCCTGGTCCTGACACCTAAGTGTCTAATTAACTCCTAACGGCAGGATCCTCCAGAAGCTGAAAGATTACCACTGAAAGCTTGGTTGATGATTAGCACTTGTTAGCAATAAAATATTTTTTTATTAAGATGTGTACATTGTGGTTGTTTAGACATACTGCTATTCCACACCTAATAGACCACCATATAATATGAACAGAACTTACAGATGCACTGGGAAACCAAACAATTCATTTTTCTTTTGCAATATCTGCTCTCTTGCAGGCCTAGAACTAAAACCCCAGTGTCCCCAGGGTGTGCCTGTCATCCCAGAGCCCCTGGGAGGGTAAGATGTCCAGAAAGGAGGTCAAGAAATGGTGTAAGAAAAAAAAAAAAAAGAAAGAAAGAAATGGTGTAAGTTCCTGCAGGTGATAAATGGCACCAAGGGGGAGGCCAACAGGTAGCAAGAACTTTTTTCTTTTTTTGCTGTTAGAAATTTTTTTAAAACCTACAATTTGTATTGGCTTTCAATTTGCCAACATAACACCCAGTGCTCATCCCGTCGAGTGCCCCCTCAGCGCCCGTCACCCAGTCACCCCATCCCCCTGCCGGCCTCCCCTTCCACTACCCCTTGTTCGTTTCCCAGAGTTAGGAGTCTCTCCTGTTCTGCCACCCTCTAATTTTTCCCACTCATTTTCTCTCCTTTCCCTTACAATCCCTTTCACTACTTTTTATATTCTCCGTATGAGTGAAACCATATAATGTTTGTCCTTCTCTGAATGACTTACTTCACTCAGCATAATACCGTCTAGTTCCATCCACCTCGAAGCAAATGGTGGGTATTCGTCGTTTCTAATGGCTGAGGAATATTCCACTGTATACATAGACCACAGCTTCAACCATAGCAATAAGTTTCAAAACATCTCTCCTGTCCTGTAAACCCAAAAGCAACCGCAGGCTACCCCCGGCGGTTCCGGCGAATGAGGCCCGCGCTCCAGGAGGGCGAGGCCCCCGGACGGGGAGCCGAAGGCACCAGGCGCGGGCCTTCAGGTGAGGCCCAACTCCTGGGATGAGGACGCCAGGGAGGTCGAACTGCAGTCCTGCCGGGACGCGAGGGCGCGGGGGGCGCGTTCGGGCAGGGCACCCATGTGCCCCCGAGGCCGGGCCTGTGCACCTGCTGCCCGACCAGGTGTGCAGCCGGGGTGCGCCCTACTGGCTCCGGCCGTGCTTCAGCAGGACGCTCCTCCTCCGACATGAGAGCCGGCCACATCGGGGCTCAGGAACTTTCGGGGCCCCTCCTGGAAGGTCGCCAGGCGCCAGCTCCACCGAGCGGGAGCGACTGCGGCCCCGGGAGCACCGGACACCAGCTCCGAACTCAGAGGCTCGCCAGCCGGACGAGTCAACTGCCCCCTTCCCGGCGTGCCTGCCTGCGCGCGCTCGTCGCTCTGGCCCAACCTCTCGTCTCGAGTGCTTTTTCCCGTCCGCCTACGCCTCTTCTGATTGGTGCAGATGTGCGGCGTGCGCGCTGACGTCACCAGGCCGCGGCGTTGCTATAAAAGCGCGCTCGGGGGCCGCGTGCTTCTCTTTCTCCGGTCCGGGAGCCTACGGTAAGGAGTAATGTGTTGTGCCCGCGGGTCAGGGGGTGGGTTGCGAGGTCGGAGACGGTCAGATGAGACTACAGCGCGGGAGTGTGGGTTCGCTAGGGGGCCGCGTAGGCGCCGTCCACGGCCACACGGGCCCTTCTTGCCCTCCCGCGCAGGCGGACGCGCGGAGCCAACATGCCAGTGGCCCGGAGCTGGGTGTGTCGTAAGACTTATGTGACCCCTCGGAGGCCCTTCGAGAAGTCGCGCCTCGACCAGGAACTGAAACTGATCGGTGAGTAGCCTGGACCCGGCTTCCGCTTCCGGGTGAGGGGTGGGCGAGGCCGCCGCGTGCCGGCTCTGCCCCACCAGCCCGGCCCCCGCCAGCCAGCGCCCTGTCTCCGCAGGCGAGTACGGGCTCCGGAACAAACGTGAGGTCTGGAGGGTCAAGTTTACCCTGGCCAAGATCCGCAAGGCCGCCCGGGAGCTGCTGACGCTGGACGAGAAGGACCCGCGGCGCCTGTTCGAAGGTGTGTGTGAGCGCGCACGGGCCTGTCTCCGATGAGGTGGGGATAGCAGGTCTGCATCCAGATGTACCCCTCTCCCTTGGGTGCGTGACACCGGGCTCCCCAGCACTGCCCGCTCCAATGAGGTGGTCCCGGGCTGTGGGTGGGTGTTCCGGGAGAAGCTCGTACTTTCCAAAGTCTTCCACTCTAGCTATTTAGGTTAAGGTCCCTGAATTTCTTTTCTGAGACAGGTGTTAGCGAAGGGCTTCCCGGAGCAAGGACTGATCACATTGAAACTTTAACATACCTTTTCTATTGTGAGGTGGCGGTGACGTTAAGGTAGCTGGAATTTACCAAGGTTTCCCTAAGTCCTTCTTCTATTTTTCTTAAGACTATTCATGAGAGAGAGGGACAGTGGAAGAAGCAGGTTTCTGAGTCGTTGGATCTGCACGGAAGCCTTAACAGTGGTAGAGGGGCAGTCAGGGGTCTCTCACTGTAGTGGGACTGGGGGGCGAACTGTGGTGGGGATGGGCTGTGATTTTAGAGGAAGCTTAGGGAACTTGGCCTACGGTTGAAATTCTACCTGTGAAAGGTAAAGGACTTTGATAATGTACTGGTTTGGAAGGAGGTAGCTTGTTTTATAAGTGCTTACATGGGAGTAAATTACCACACAGGTTGCTTGTTTTGCTCCAAGCCCTAAAATTGGCTGCCTCACGGCTATCCTGATGTTGCTTTGGGCCTGAGCTTAGGGAATCTTGGTTTATGGTGAAAGGCAGGAGGGGCTGGGAATAATGCCTGTTTTTTATTTTCAAAGTTACTAGTTTGATTTCAAAGGAAACTTGAGTTGTCACTGTTAAGTGTGGGTGGTCTTTCATTTTCTATATTGAGGAGGACTTGAAGGCGGTTTAACATTGCAGATTCATTACACAATTCTGAAAATTCAGGAAGCCCCTCCCATGTGGTTGCTTGCAGGGGACTTTATCCCACAGCTAGTTGAAGGTGGAGGAACTTTGTGAAGATAGAGCTACTAGGTCAGGTCCTTGGTTGGATAAGCATTCACATGGCCGACTGGGTGGGGTTGAGCAGCAGGTAACCCAGGAGTACTTGTGTTTCCCTGTGGCAGAAGGGGAAGTGAGTTACAGGAGGTAGGCAGCACCACAGGTTGTAGGCTTTCAAGTAAATAAGGCATTTAACTCCAAGGGACAAGGAGGAGGAACCTGGAAGCTCTGCCAGTCTATTGGAGAGGTGTCTCACTCATAGAGCCTGGGGTCCAATCCATCCCACTGAGGCCTGTGACTTTGGGCGGAAAACTTCTCTGCTTGCCTGTTCAAGAGACCAACAGCCAACGTGTGGCGGAGGGTTCATACAGGTGTGGGCTCCATCCTATTCTCACGGCAGCCGTAAAGAAACTGGTATTGCATCCGTTTTTCAGATCAGAAACTGAGGTGCTTGAGTTGCTTTGTGTCATGATGACAGGGAAAGACTTATGTGTCTGAGAATTGTCCTCATTGCTTTTATGTTTGTAAAATGTCCTGATTCTTGTTTTGGCCAAACGGAGCCCACGTGATTTTTCAGTGGTTGGACATACTCCTGTTGAAGATGCAAAGTTTATTCAGTGTGCATTGAAAATTATTTTAGTTCTTATATGTAGATAAGGCTGTTCTGGTGTTGATGGAATGCTGGCTTTCCTCAGTGTGTAGGTGGTTTTAATAGTAAACAAGAAATAACGTTTGTTTCTGATGATGGTGGTCTTATTTTCCCTAGAAGTCTCTAAAGAGATTATAAAGTTTGCATTCTCATCAAGTTTATGTTTTCTAGCATAAGAACAAAAAGGTGTAAGTGTCTTACTGGTAGGTAATCCCAGTTGCCTATGAGTATCGTTTTTGTATTAGTATTTGAATGTTACTGGGTTTTTTTAAACTAGGGTATGATATATAGCAGTGATTTGATATTTCTATATGCCGTGAAATGATTACAATAAATCTAGTTAATTTCTGTCACAAAGTCTTAAAAATGTTATTTTAGCAACTTAGCAATATTCAGTATCCTAACTGGAAGTTTATTATTTGAACACCTTGACCCATCCCCCCTGTGCCTCTGGCAACCACCATAATCTATTCTCTATGAATTTGATGTGTATTTTGGTGGTGATGATGGTTTTGTTGTCTGTGTATAAGCAAGATCATGGGAATTGATTTAGTCCACTTGGCACAATGTCCTCAGGGTCCGTCCACGTTCTAGGTGGTGAGATTTTGTTCTTATTGTGGCTGATGAATACCCCCACACCTCCACCCCAGTGTGTGCATCTTACCACCTCTGTTACTTTTTCAACCATCCGTGGGCTCTCACATTGTTTGTGTCATGGCCCTTGGAAATAATCTGCAAGGGAGCTTCTCTTCCAGTTAGCGATTTCATATCCTTTGGATAAATACCCAGAAGTATGAGATCCGTGGGTGGCTCAGCGGTTTAGTGCCTGCCTTTGGGCCCAGGGCGTGATCCTGGAGACTGGGGATCCAGTCCCACATCGGGCTCCCTGCATGGAGCCTGCTTCTCCCTCTGCCTGTGTCTCTGCCTCTCTCTCCCTCTCTCTCTCTCTCTCTCTCTCATAAATAAAATTATTTTTTAAACATTTTTTTAAATGCCCAGAAGTGGGATTGTTGTGTGTCATCGTTCTGTTTTTGTCTTTTGAGGAACCTCCATACTGTTTTCCATAGTGATTGTGCCACTGCATTCCCACCAACCCTGCACAGGGATTCCCTTTAATCCACATCCTCAACCAGCACTGATGTCTCTTGCATTTAATCCTAGCCGTTCTGACAGGTGTGAGGCAACCTCGTTGTGGTTTTGATTGGAATTTCCCTGATGATCCGTGATCACCTGTTGGCCATTGGCCTTCTGGGTCTTTGGGAAAATGTCTATTTGGATGCTCTGCCCTCCCCCCCTCCCATCTTTAATTACGTTTGTGGAGTTGTTTGCTATCGAATTGTAGGAATAGCTTGTATTTTTGGTGTCAGCCCCTTGTCAGATACATTATTTACAAACATTTTCTCTTTTTCAAGATTGCTTTGGTCTCTTTTATGATTCCATACAAATTTCAGGATTTTTCTGCTTCTGTGGGAAAATACCATTGGAATGTTGGTAGAGATTGCATTGAAGTTATTTATTATTTTGGGTAGTAGTGTGGGTATTTTAACAATATTTTCCCAGACCATGACTATGGAATATTTTCATTTTCGGTATACAGGTTTTTCATTTGGTTAAATCTATTTTTAAATCTTTGATGTTTTTGTAAATGGGAGATATCGTCTTAAGTTCAACGCTTATTACTGCAAAAAAAAATGAAGCGATGTTACAATTTGGGGTATTGGGAAAGATAGTGTTTTTCCATTTTGATCCTATCTCTTTTCCATTAAGTGTGCTAAGACTTTTCAGTGTCTTCATAAGTCCTGCAGCTTTCCTTGGGGGCAAGAGGTCACAATGCAGAGAATATTGGAAATGACCAATAACATGGAGCTTGCTTGAATAGAAATAATGGTTACTTCATAACATCCTCTTTAAGGGAAAGCACGGGGGAAAGGGTTGGGCCTTTACCCCATGACAAGGTGTTGATTTGCTAAGAGTCTGGTAATCCCAGTGAGTATGAGCTCTGGGGCCAGGGTTTGCCCCCAGGGTCCTATAAGGGCAGTCCCCTATGGAGCCGTCTGGAGCCATGGACACATAGCAGGGCCTCCTGTGCCTGGGGCTGCTGGGTCACTTCTTGCCATGCATTGTTAAAACCACACGATAATTTTTTAGTGGAAAACCACAGATAAAATAGTAAATCAAGTAACAGATGCTCAAACACGTGGCCAGTTGGGATTTTTCTCAGGCCTAGAAACTAGGTACTGACAGTCTAGTATTATCGCTAAGGAGGGTGGTGTTTAGCCTCAGATCTGACTAGTAGGGCTTTCTTGACTGCAGCGGGTTAGCCCTTGACCATTATGTGTCACTGTGAGTAATGGTTTAGCAACAGCAGCAGAGTTTTACAGGGGTTACTAAGTCCTTTTGCAGGGATTGTGTCGTTTCTCTCCTTCAAGAGGTGGGTTTGAATCCAAGATGTCTAAAGTGATCAGTGCTTCCTTCCCCTCCTATCAGGTAATGCCCTACTGCGGCGACTTGTACGCATCGGGGTGCTGGATGAGGGCAAAATGAAGTTGGATTATATTCTGGGCCTGAAGATCGAGGATTTCTTAGAGAGACGCCTGCAGACCCAGGTCTTTAAGCTGGGCTTGGCCAAGTCCATCCACCATGCCCGTGTGCTGATCCGCCAGCGCCATATCAGGTAACACATCTAGGGGTCTATCTTCTCCATCCCCTTTGGTGGTTGCCCTCACTAAGCTTGCTGTCCTTATCCCCTATGCAGCCCTCGGAGGTGACAAAGGTGTGAACACACCTTGAGGGTACAGATTGACACCTGCAAAGTGCTCATGGGTTGCTGGGGAGAGCCTTATCCCCTGCCCCGTAGCCCAGCGCAAGGGTCACTGCGGCCTAAGCCGTACACCTTGCGAAGGCTTCTACAGGCATGCATGCAGCCAGACAGGTAACCGTTCTCGGTGTGCCTGGTGAAGAGAGGTCATTGGGCCTCTACTGGTTTGGGTGGGTGTGTGGGTTCAGTTGGGCCCACTTGTGACACACTGTCCGTGTTGGTGAGTTGACCACAGTCCATGGTCTGATGGTCAAGTGCTGGGGCCTGTGGGAGTCTGGCTGGCTCAAGAAGACAGGGCAGATGGGTCTTTTATCTGGGTGCTCGGTTTGACCTTTGTCAGATTTTGTAGACTGGAGTCTCAGGTGAAGGACAGTAAGGCTGCTCCTTAGATAGTAAAGCCCAGTGTCTGGCACACGTGTGAGTTGAGTGACATTCTAAAGCTCTACAGAACACACAGGTGCTAGAGGGGAAGAACACCTAGAGGGGAGAGGCTGACCTCATTCCCTCACCTGCCATCCCCCCTCCAGGGTCCGAAAGCAGGTAGTGAACATCCCATCCTTCATTGTCCGCCTGGACTCCCAGAAGCACATCGACTTCTCCCTCCGTTCTCCGTATGGGGGTGGCCGCCCAGGCCGCGTGAAGAGGAAGAATGCCAAGAAGGGCCAGGGTGGGGCTGGAGCCGGTGATGACGAAGAGGAGGACTAAACCCACCCTTCCATCCCTTTCAGGGCCCGTGGATTATCTAGTTTTCTAGGCCAATAATAAAACAGTGTTTGGAATCGTTTATTGGTGTGTCTCCCTGTTCTGAACATACAGCTCCCTGTGGTGGGAAAAGATGACAATTGGGTCCTCCAACCAGGACCCTCCCAGCAGGTGGTCCTTGTTCCTTGGGGCATGGGTATAATCTGGTACACTCTTGAGCAACACAAACACACCACTTCCTTATTTCAGTGGGAATGCCAGCTGTGCTAGGGGGAAGTTCTCAAGCCACCTATTTGCATGGTGGTGAGCTAGGGAGCCCTTTCTTTCCAGCAGGGGAAGTGTGGGTGGAGGTTGGTTATCATGGTCAGCCAGCCCTTCTAGCCCTTGGCAAAAAGAAGTCAGGTTCAGGTTGGCAACTGAGCACTGAACCTTGGGTTACAAGTGAGAATGAAACAGTTTAATTGGGTTTTGCTGGGGAGCATTGCAAAGCTTATTTCGGTATGGTTGGGAAAATGGCTGAGGCACCCTGCTCCCTACCCCCTGCATCTGGAGTTTGTGAACCGGGTGAGTCAGGAAGGAGACTGGCTTCCATTTTCTCTGTCTTGCTGAGAAGCTGGATCAGGCAGAGGAGGAAGGGGCTTGGTCTCAGGAAACACAAAGCCCTTGGCATTGAGCAACCCCTCATGGGCTGTGGCACTGCTGGTTTCTGAGGTCATTGGTGGCCTGGGATGTTGCCAGGCTGCCATGGAGCCTGCAGGAGGTCCCCAGTCCTTGCAGCTTAGTGCTGGGTTCCCCTACGCCACAAGGTTGCCGTGTGGTAACAAATGGTGTTAGCATTTCCTTGGCATCTTACAGAAACTCTAAGATGAGCTGTGTTCTGATGGGAATTCTGGAAGCAATGGACTCTCATAAGACCCCAGGAAGTTCCTGGTGGTCCTTGTCCTGCCTCCAGGCTGCCTGGGCTCAAGTGGTACCTGCTGTGAGCAGCTCCTGTGCCTTCTGGGGTCCCTGTAGGGAGTCTTAGGACCTCTGGAGTGTGGGGTCTGGGTCCTTCTGGGCTAGTAGAAGGCCAGAGCAGCATACACACTGGGCTCCTCTGGGAGCTCCTCTGATTGGGAGGGAGAGGATGCACTTGTTTCCTGTCCGAGGGTCAGGTGGTTCAGTTGGATATAGATCACATCTTGCTGGTCCTCAGATATGGCCACCTGGAGCAGGGGGAGAGGAAAGGCACGTGGCTGAGAAGAGGATGTGCTCTCTGGGGGTCTGAGGGCCCTGAGCCCACTTCTGCCCTCCTGCAGTCAGGGTATCTGGGGAGGCGGTGTACAAAGTTGAAATGCCTGTGGTGCTGACATGAGTGGTTGGCCGTGGGAATCTGGAGGAAGGGGTTGCAGTAGGCCATCAGCTGGAGGGATGAACAGACCCTGGCACCCCGGCAAGGGGTTCAGCCCAGTGTGAACTGTGTGAACCAGCCCATAGGTTGTGGGGACAGGGCACAGGCTGTTCAGTCCTCACCTCCAGTTCTGCCCACTTGACCCAAATGTCCCAACAGCTGGAGATCAGAGGAGGCCAGGGGGAGTGGGGTTGCAGCACCATAGACCGCGGTGCTTCCAGAAGGGAAGGCCCACTGTGGGGTGGAGCATGCACAGGGAGGCAGGGGGTGCCCTGGTCAGGAGCACAGGGAGTTCACCTGGCTGTCCTGCTGGCTGTCCTCAGGCTGCGTGTCTTTTATGACGGCATCTGGTGAGGACAGAACAAGGTGGCCCTCTTACTAGGTTGCCCTGAGATCTCACATGGCAGGAGCCCAGAGAGGGTCAGTGATGTTACAAAGCCACACAGAATCAGATGCTGAACCGCACCAGATCAGATCCATTTCCCGCCAATCCCTGCCTCCATTGGCCACCCACCACGTCTCTGGGCCCCCCTACTCCCAGCCCCCAGCAGCTCCACACTTCCCCTTACACAAGTTCTCCTCCTGGGTGGTGGCAGCAGGACTGGAGCTGGGGAGGAGAGGGGGTGTTAGGGGCGGTGAGTGGGCCACTAGCCAGCGGGAGCGGGGTCTGGGACAGGGTCTGGGACAGGTCTTACCTCCCGGGCAGGCCTCTGTCCTCAGGCACTGCTGCTGCCGCTGCTGCAAGAAGTGGGAAATCAGCCTCAGGCCCCCCATCCCGGAACCCCCCCTGGGGCCACCTTAAGCTGAGGCTCTACATATTCCCTGCCCATCACCAAGTAGAATTCAAGAGGAAAGGGTTCTAAATAAAACAAAGCTTGTATGTGTGTTCAAACATTTCATAAGCTTGAAAAGGCAAAAGAAATTTTCACAAGTATACTCACATGGACCCCTCTTTCTGGGTTTCTCATTGGGAGATCCTGGAGTCCTACGCTGGCCTTCCCACCTCTCTGGGTTCCTCTGGCCACTGCCCTGAGCCCACCCTCGGTCAGCCCATGGGGCACCACTACCCCTGGGGCCCTTCAGCTCCTTACCCGGCTTCCTGCCTTTGCCTTGATGCCACTGTCGGACCAGGAAGAGGACGAGGAGGCAGAGCAGCAGGACGAAGGCCACTAAGGCCCCAACAAGGATGTACAGGTACTGGTCTGAGGCTTGAGCAGGAGCTACAGCATGAATGAGTCAGTGATGCCATTTAACTGAGCGTCTACTGTGTGCCAGGCACCTGCTGGGCTCTCTACACTCCCCTCTGACTTTGACAACCATCATGCAATGCAGCAGGGGATTGCTGTTCCTCCCATCTGCTCCACGGACAGAAACAGGCACAGAGAGGTCAATCACATGTTTCAGGTTGCCCAGCGTGGAGGTGGCAGGGCTGGGACTGGAACCAGGGGTGAGGGTTCCCTTGTGGGATTTTGGGGTTCTTCATGCTGTCCCCTTACCCTCTGGGCAGAACACTGAAGTGGAGACCTGTCCACCAAACCCAAGCCCAGGCCTGTCTCCTGCACTGCACAGCCTGACACCCCCAGAGGAACCTGTGGGGACCTGGAGTGTGTGCACCTGTGGGGGGCTGATGGCTTTCACCAAAATCTCACAGCAGCCCTGAGGGAGGTGGTGGGAGCCCTGTTGTGCAGATCGTGAGCCTGGGCCTGGGCCTGGGAGAGGGACGTGACTTGTCCAGGATCCCGCAGCTGGGAAGTAGCAGAGCTGAGGGCTGAACCTGGGGGTGTGACTTCCAAGCCTTGTTCTTGCCCAGACTCCACAGCCACTCCCAGGCTGAACCCCCCTTGCCATCTGTGAAGGAGAAGTCAGACTCCCCCTTTGTGTGTGCCCGCTCACCCACCCCGCCCCTGGTCCCACACAGTGATGAAACCACCTTCTTGCACTTTGCAGTCGCGTTTGCTATCAGAGGGATTGTCCCAGTGACAAGCAACTTCTCTGGGGTGTAATCTCAGGAAGTGACTGAGGCAAACCAAGGCCGAGCTCCTCCCACCCACCGCCTCCTGACAGCGACCCCACTTACTCCATGTGGGAAGAGGGGTGCATCCTCAGAGCCTCCTGGGGACCCGGACAGGGCGGGAGGAGCAGGGCTCCTCCCCAGCTGGGCCCCACCCTCTCTCTGCCCTCACTCCACCTGGGATCTGGCCCAGGCTGAGACCCCAAAGCCCTGTGGTCACCCCAGACACAAGCCATGCCAGAGAGGGTGACCTTGGTCCCTCCAGGGGTCCAGCCTCTGCTGGTCACACACTCTGGTGTTGGTGTCTCTGGAGGAGCGGCTCCTAGGACTGGAGACTGGAGGAGAATGAGCGGGAAGGGCCTCTGGCCTTCCCTTCTGTCAGCCCTGAGTCCTCTCCAGTCTACATCACTCCCCTGTCACTACAGGGCCTCAGGGGAAGGGGAGAAGTCAGGGATGGTGTTGTCCTGACTATCCCTCTGAGAGCTGAGGTCCCCTCTGGATGATCTCCTAATTCTGTGACCCCTCACTCCCATCCCAGCCTAGCACTGCCCTGTGGGCAGGTCCCTGAGCTGACCAGGAGGACACAGAGGGAGAGGGTCAGGGGCCCCTCACCTGAGACCAGGAGCTCCAGGGAGTCACTGGGACTTGACAACAGGTAGGGGGAGGAGTTGTGTGAGCTGTAGCACCTGTAGGTCCCCTGGTGGTCTGAGGTCACAGGATTCAGGGTGAAGTTGACCTCATATGGTATAGCTGTGTCCTGCAGATGAAGGTGCTGGGGAGGAGCAAGGGACCCCTCCTTGGACAGGTGGAAGGTATTGAACCAGATCTCAGAGCGACACCGCAGGGTCACATTCTCTCCCCAGGATACTGAAGGCCCAGGCTGGGCTGAGAGGGATGGTTTTGGGTATATTCCTGGGGAAAAGGAAGGTCGTGATGTGTAGAGGCCTGCCTCTCCACATACGCCCTTGACCCAGCTGGGGGACCACTTTCATCTCTCCAGAGACTCTGTGTGGGACCCCTCTCAGCTCCTCTTGTCTCTCTGAGTGGATGTCCTTCATCTCCATGACCCTCACCGGCCATTTTTCAGCCCCTGTCCCTAGAACATGGCCCCATCTCAGCCTGTGCTCCTGACCCTCTCCCCGGACCCCATCACCCAGGGGTGACAGTGGCCCCTGAGCCTTCAGCAGACAGGACATGGGGCAGGGGTCTCCTCACCTGTGATCAGGATGTCCAGAGGGGCACTGGGTGCTGACCACGTGGAGGAGAGGTTGTGTCCACTGTAGCACCTGTACCGGCCCCCGTGGGTGCGGCTCACAGTGTCCAGGGGGAAGTCGGGGCTGGGTTGACCATCCAGATGCTGGGCCGGTCTGAGCTCCTCATCCTTGGTCAGAGCGAATCTATTAAAGCCAGCTTCTGAGCGACACTGCAGGGTCAGGTTGTCTCCAGAATGAACCAGTGAGCCCGGCTGGGCCATGAGTGAGGGCTCCCTGTAGGCACCTGCATGGAAGGGCACAGAGGCACTGAGGGGACCCAGACCCTGCATTGGGCCCAAGGCCTACATGAAGCTACCATGGGTCCCTCCCAAGGCCTTCAACCTATAGTTCTGGCCCTAGGAGGCCAGTGTCACCCACCCTGCATCACTCCCAGGGCTCCATTGGGCATATGGCTTAGGTCAGTCATATGGGCCCAGGAGAAAGATGGGGTACAGCAGGGGCTGCCTCACCTGTGACCTGAAGGTGTAGGGGGTCACTGGGGTGTGACCATGAATACGGGTACGACTGTTCAGAAATGTAGCATCTGTAGGTCCCCCCATGGGAGGTGTTCACAGGGCCCACAGGGAAGAGTGCCCGGTACCTCTCACGAAGGATCGTCAATTCCAGGTGTTGGGGCACATCAGCTCCCTGCTCCTTCAGCAGATGGAATGAGTACCTTGGGTAACGTGAACTACAGGAGAGGGACATGTTCACTCCTGAGGCCACCACAGGGCCTGGGTTAGCTGAGAGGGTGGGTGCCTCAAATACTCCTGAGAGAGAAGGAGGAAGCTATGTTACAGCGGACAGTCAACCCATGTACTCCATGTACTCTGTGCTGTGAGCAAGGGGTCCCCTGAGACCACATTCCATTCTCTTCAGCCTGGAGGAGGGGCCCCAGAGGTCGGGTCAGCACCTGCCCTTACCTGTCACCACCAGGGTCAGGAAGTCACTCAGCTGTGACCAGCTCTTCCTGCTCTGATATGCACACTGGTATCGCCCTGCCTCATGTGTGCTCATGAATTCAATGGAGTAACTGGCTTTGGTTTTGGAATCCTGGGAGATCTCCATGGAAAAATGTCTAGAGACCCTCTCTTTAAACAGGTAGTAACCATCAGCCTGCAGAGACGTCTGACACCAGAGGGTCACAGGGCTCCCCTTGGTGGCCATGAAGCCTGGGTCAGCCCAGATAGAGGGCTTGGGGAGGGTTCCTGGAAAGGAATAAGATGCATAGTTGCAAAGGTGCCATTCACGCCTTATTTTCCCCCCTGCCACCCCAAGGCCCCTCCCACACTGGTCATCATCATCCCTGACCCTCTGCCCCCAGCTGTCCTGGGGTTATGGGCAGAAGTAGGATGTCTGGGGAGGACTCACCTGCCTGCGCCTGGTCCCATGGTCCCCAACACAGCCCTGGAAGAGAGTGCCTGTGAATGGGTCCCTCCACCCACACGCAGTTGCTCCAGGCCTAGGTGGGCCCCTGGGCACTGGGGTCATATTTGGGGCACAGTACACTTCTCCCCCAGAAGTTCTGCCCCCTCCGATTCTCCCCAACCTGGGGTCTCCCAGGGACCAGGACTTGGGAGTAGGGAGAGGACAACCCCATCCCTTCTGTTTTCCAAAGATCTTACCGAGGTAGAGAAGGACAGTGAGGTTCAGGGTGCTGGTGCTGCTTCCCATGGTCCCCAGAGGTGCAGACAGCTTATAAAGTCCTCAGAGCCTACAAGATGGACAGATACTCAGGGCGTGACAGGGCCCAGGCCCTGTGTTCCCCGTCATGGGTCTCTCATGAGCAGCCTCACAGCCCTGCCTAGGGCCTTGCTCTGCTCTCCCTGAAGGGTGGCCCCACAGCAGAAATCCCTGGGACCTTGCAGACCAGAAGTGTGTCTCCCCAGACCCCATTCCCTCTACCTTTTCCTCACGGATCCCATGTCCAGAGAGTGGCCATCGTACCAGGTCTCCAGGCTGGGGAGGTAAGGCAGGGCCTGGGAGCCAGTCCAATGTCAGTTCCAGTTCTGCCCCTGCCTGTCACAGAGGCTGTGTGACCCAGGCTAGGACACTTCCCCTTCCTGAGTTTCTGTAAATGCAAATTTTTTTCCTTCCTTCTACGAGGCTGGCAATCAAGCATGTTTAGTGAGAAGTCATCACATCCAGGCATGGTCCCCAGCACTGGAGATTCATTGTTGAGGTGACACACTCCTTCCCTGGACTCATGTGCTGTGATTAGTGACCATCAGACAATACAAATATTTAGGGATAAAACAATTCTACTATGGTCTAATAAGACTCTTCCAAGTTGGAAGAAAAAAGAAACAGGGAACCATGAGATTCGGTAACATGTAGATGTCATACAACCTGGGTCCTGGTCATGAGAGGTCCTTCTGGGGGATGGAATGATGGAAGGCACAAGCCAGGGGTATGCAGAGACGAGAGTGGGGGACATCCTTAACCAGAAAGATCTTGAGCTTTTCTCAGAACCGAGAGTGATCAGGAGGCCAGTACCTTGTCATGCAGGATTTTGAGCCCCAAGTAAGCATTTGGGATTTCTACTTTAAGGCAATGGGAAGATTTTAACCGGCAGAGAGTCAAACAAATTTCTGTCTGGAAAAGACTAACACTGTAGGAAATACTGACAATTAGTAGTAAAACCCCAGCATTCATGTGGTCTCTGGGTTGTGCTGATCAGTATTTAAGCCTTACATGAACCTATCATACAAATCACATATACAGTTGAGCAGAACGAGCCAGGATGACTTCTCCATCTGGCAGGTTGGGGAGGAGTTGGCCAGGTTCAGATTGGCTGAGGGGACAGCCCGAGAAAAGGCGTGGAATTGTTGAGTAGCTCAGTGTGTGTTGCTTGGGAAGGTATTTGGGTGGGAGGGGAGTTGTGTTTGCTGGGGCTAGTGGGTTTAGCTCTGGCCTGATGGTCACAGCCTTAAAGATGAGATAGTGCAACTTATATCTTTCTGAAGGAGAGTGTGGGGAGGGTTTTGAGCATCCCACAGGATGAGCCCAGCCTAGTGTTTAGTAGGGTCTTCTAATCTAGAGGCGGTGAGAGGAATGCAATGGGAGAGGGGGGCCTGCTTGGAGGAGCAGTGGGGAGGCTGACCTGCTGACGCACACAGACTTCTTGAGTCTTGCAATGGGTTGGACATTTTTAAGAAGGTCTCAAGAGGCATGGTGGTGTGTATCCAGAGACTCTCTGTCTGTTGGCTGGAGGAGCCAGTGGGGCCATCCCAGGAGGATGACCCAGCAAGAGGCAGGGACTGGGAGGTGATTTGAAGACAGATCATCATTTCTCAGAAGGAAGCATGACCCTTCCTCCTACCCTGGCATTGTGGATTTTCTTTGTACCCCACACTTCCCTTCACTGACTTCCTTATTTCTGTAAGTCAGCAACATCTTTCTCTTCATCACTCCTAAACCTGAGTCATTTCTGCCTCCTCAGGGCTCTGTCTTCCCCTGGGCAGGGCTCTCCATCCCATACTGGGAATTACTTCTCCAGGCACAGGGTAAGAGCATGAGTTAGAGGTAATTCAGAGGTTTAATTAAAGTTAGAGCTAAAATACTACTGTCAATCTTTAGCAGATACTTACCCTTTCTGAGTCTTCTGTTCTTCATAGTGACGAAATAGCGGCCTCTCCTCTCAGGATTGCTGTGGTGCCTGAGACATGGAGGGGCTCCAGCCGGGGTAGTTTCATGTGTAACTTGTAGGCATTGAGATGACTGCAGTGTCAGAGTTAATATCATGGGGCAGATTGAAGGCCATAGCCAACATTCACTGCAAACACGTATAAATGCCAGATAAAGGTTTGTAAGATATGTGGCCACAGTCAAACTAGAATAACTAAAGCCCCCGAAATGTAGAGTGAATCCCTAGACATAACTAGAAACCAATGCTGAGTAGGCTTGGTGATGGGTCCCACAGATGGGACCCAGGACCTGGTTTGCTGTGTACCTACAGAGACATATGGCAAAGCCCCATAGGAAACAGAATTCCTGGTATGAAACTGGGAGCTCTGACTCTGCTGCCTGTCTAAATGGGGGCTGCAGTATCTCCACTCAGTGATCTGAGGTCATGCTCAGAATTCAGCTCCTTTCTCCAGGTATGAGCAAAAAATATCCAGTATAATATGGGCAGGTATCACTGTAGTATGGAGCTCAGTTTTAAATAATCCATGCATTGCTAGAATCCTGTGTTTGGAACACCTGCAAATCATAAATCTGAAGCAGTTGCAAGGTGACCACTTGTTTAGAACTTCATAGTGCAGGAAAATGGGATAATGACTTCTGTGAAGGGTTAGCTCAGTGGCAAAATGACCAGGTATATATGATCAACTATGCCATGAAAAATAGAGTACAGATCCAGTCAGTGTGGGAATTCCCAATGAAGGCAAGGGAGATAAATTGAAAATTGGGAAGAGACTTAAAAATAAGCATGCTTTAAATCCTCAAACAGTTAAAGGAAGTTGTGACATTTATGATACAAGAAGGGTTTAGTGGGAAAAAAGATGCTAAGAAAATGTCATAAATAAAAACTCATTAGTTGAATAGAAGGATTCCAAAGATCTATTCCATAATAGATATTAGATAGCTGATCATAAAATTGGAATTGAAAAAATGGAATTTGAAAATGAAACTCAGGAAGTATCCCAGAATGCAACTGAATATCATAAAAATAGAAACCAAAAGGATATAATCTAACACATGGAAAATAGAATAACTAGGTCCTAAAACACATTTGTCCTTCATTTTAGTGGAGGAAATGAGAGAATAATAAAGTGGCAGTAATCAGATATTGTTGTTAAGGGTTATTTTGGAAATGAAACCAGAGAAATGGTCAGCATGGGCTGTGACAGCCAAACTTACTGGGAACCGCATCCTCGAAAGCAGGTCAAAATATCAGTACCTAGCCAGACTGATAACCTGCTCAAAGAAACAAAAATCCACATTCCCCAGAAGATTTTATCAGAACCCAGTGCCTTCTAACGTAATTAATTTTCTTTATTTTATTTTATTTTTTATTTTTTTATTTTTTAATTTATTTGTTTATGATAGTCACAGAGAGAGAGAGGCAGAGGGAGAAGCAGGCTCCATGCACCGGGAGCCCGATGTGGGATTCGATCCCGGGTCTCCAGGATCGCGCCCTGGGCCAAAGGCAGGCGCCAAACCGCTGCGCCACCCAGGGATCCCCCGTAATTAATTTTCAAAGAAACAGGAAAGTCTCAGTAATGATACTCAAAGGAAAAATAACAGACACCACTCTGAGTTAACCAACAATTTAAAGCCAGTTTTTGAAAGATTGATTGATTTATCTATTGGAGAGAGAGCGGGGTGAGGGTCAGAGGGAGAGAGAGAGAGAATCTCCAGCAGACTCCCCACTGAGCGCAGAGCCTGATGAGGGGTCTATCTCATGACCCTGAGGTCATGACCTGAGCCAAAATCAAGAGTCAGATGCTGAACCAACCAAGCCACCAGGTGGCCCTAAAGCCATTTTTATAATCGAGCTTCATAAAATAAGTGCAAACACTATTGAAATAAATGGAAAAAATAGAATTCTCTCAGCAAAGAAATAAGAGGGAGAAAAAAAGAAAATTTTAGAACTGAAAAATTCAGTAACTGAAATAAATTCCTTGTGTCTAATGAATGAAAATGACAAAGGCAATCAGCGAAATTGAAAACAGAACAAGGGAAATACAATCTGAACAGTAGAGAAAAAAAAGATTTCAAAAAATGAACACAGATTGAGGGATTTGTGAGATAAATTATATAATTGATCCGCCAGCAAAAGGAGAATGATATCAATAAAGAAAAAAGTTTGAAGAAATAAATAACTGTCCATTTCATAGATTTGTTGAAAGTCATACATTTACATGTCCAAGATGCTCAGCAAATGCAAAATAGGATAAGCTTTAAAAAGCCACCCACACACATAATTAAACTAGTCAAAACCAAAAAAGAAAAAAAAAAGTAGAGAAAATGCCACATTACATAAAGATGGAAAACGATTTGAGTGATAACAGATTTAATGTCAGAAATCATCAACTTTTGTCAGAAATCATCAACTTTAAAGTTCTGAGAGCCAACCTAGAATTCTTCTGGATATATTGTTCAGGAATGGAAGCAAAATAAATTCATTCTTAGAGGAGGGAGCACAGGGAGAATGTTGCCAGCAGCTCTGCTGTACAAGAGATGATAAGGTAAGTCTTCAGGCAGAAAGGAATTAATTCTGGAGGGAAACTGGGAAGAAAAAAGGTAAATATCTAGGTAAATGTAATAGCATACTTCTGTCCTCTTACATTCATTAACATGTATGACTGTTGAAAGCAAAACCGATAAGCTCTGGTGGGGTTTGAATGTATGTAGAGGTAACACATAGGACATCGGCAACATAAGGGGGTGAGGTTGAAGGCCCTATACACTTGTAAGGCTTCTATTTTTTCTGAAAGAGGTGAAATATTAACTCTATGTAGACTCTGAAATTAGGTATGTATAATACCTACAGTGGCCACTTTAAAAACAATATACAAAGAGTTATAGTTAAAACACCAATAGATAAGGGCACCTGGGAAACTCAGTCAGTTAAGCCTCCAGCTCTTGATTTTGGCCCAGGTCATGATCTCAGGGTCATGAGATCGAGCCCTGTGTTGGGCTCTGCACTGGGCATGGAGCCTGCTTCAGATGCTCTCTCTCCTTCTCCCTCTGCCCCTCCCTCCACCCTCCCCACCAAAAGAAGTTAAAATGGAATACTTAGAAATATTCTAGAAATCCAAAAGACGGCAGGAGAGGGAAAAGTGAAAAACAAACAATAAGTAAGAGGGAGACAAACAGAAAGTAAACAATAAGATGGTAAATGTAAAATCAATCTTATATCAGTAATTACATAATATAAATAGGGAAAGCACAATTAAATGGCAGAGATTATAGGACTGGATTACTACCACCAAGACCCAACTTTGTGCAGTCTACAGGAGGTAGAGGTACTTAGTGTTATATGTTGGCAAATTGAATTTA